GCTTATAAGACAAATTCTATCTGTAAAGGCAAAGTACAAAAAAGAACAATAGACGAAAAGACAAACAAGTACAACCAAATTTATGGGAACAAAACACTGGTTTAGAACGTATGAAGTCATCTACTTTTTCCCATTATAAATATGGAGTTTGCTTCTGCTGCCTTTCTGCTTTTATTTGATGAAAATAAAATAACTAAAATGAGCAGCTGCACTTATATACACCTATATATGTCTAGCTGTCAACCTCTTGATTTTAAAAATTAGAAACTAGGCTATAGTAACTAGAATTAGCCTTGTTCAAATGCCAGTACTACAGGCCATTGAAGATCTGTCCTCATCTTTAGGAATCCCAGCGGTGGGGATGATAACAGGGCTGTACAAAGAAGTCAGAAAAGAAAGTAACCCTCTAGTATTTTCCAAATGTTCTTACGTTGGTAAGAGCAGAACAGTAATAATATAATCCTGTCAGCCAATGAGAGAAATTTTCTTTCCCTGTTCAGTGCTTAGAGGCATCCAACTACATGCTTAATTCTTCCACGCCCAGAAAGGCAGGGAAATCTCACAACTGGTCAGTCTCTCCTTTTACTTTTTTCTCTTCTTTATCCAAGACAATCTCTCATCTTATGTTTACATGTTTTTGTTCTAGTTTTCCATTTTAGTTGTGATTTTTCTCCCTAACTACTCCCATCATTTGCATATTTCAGTAGGATAGGAACCACTCTGACAGACTTGGACTTAGTCTATTTCTCCTACATTCACCAGCCTTTGAAGGCAAGTTTAAGTTTGTGTACAAAGTTTTTGCTTTGTAAAACTTGATATTTATTTATTTATTTATTGTTTGTTTATTTGCTGCTTGCTTGCTGTTTATATTTTGCTCCAATCCAGCAAAGTAGATAACAATCCCTAAGGGAAGGGAGCTGAAGATAACCTACCCTGCTTAATCTTTTTGGTCTGGCAGAAACCATGGCAAATAGACCTTTTTATAAATAACTCAGATTCCCAGGTTCTGACCATATAGGACTTTAAATGTGACAACTAGCATCTTGAATTGCACTCAGAAGACAAGCGGTAACCAGTGCAACTCATGAAGTAGTTGTGTTACTACTTGAGCAACTGTATTCTGGTCCAGTTGAAGCTTCCAGGTGATTCTCAAGGACAGTCCCATGTAGATTTAGTTGCAGTAATCCAAATGGGAGATGACCAAAGCATGAGTGACAATGAAGAGATTTCTGCCCAGGAACTGGCATGCCTGGTATGTCAGATGTAACAGTGCACCTCCCCCCCAGCCTTGGTGTGAGTCCAAAAAAATTCCCAAGTTACAAACCAGTTTTCCATGGGAAGCACAACCCTATCCAGAACCAATCTGTGGAGATTGGTGGCACCACTTAGCTCAGTAGCAATCAGAGAATAATCTGACCATGACAAATTACAGATGTTGATGTTGTCTACTCTCAGATCACAAAAACCAGGTCTAATATATTGCGACTCATTTGAGTTGTGATCTAGAATAGCAGGTTAAAGCCTCCCAGCACTATGAGTCTGGGGAACTCCACCACCAACCCTGCAATGAGGTCAGAAAATAGAACCCAGCAGTCATACTTGTCCCTCCCACCCCAAGAGTATACATTTCCAAGAGGCCTTTATTTCACTTGACCAGATTTTGGTAGTGGAAGTCAGGTCTGCCTTCTCATCCACAATTAAATAGTATATGAAGAGAGATCTGTTGTAGGCATTAAGGAGCAACATTCAGAGCAAAGAACCTTGGAACCTGGCTCTCAAGCTGAGGCAAGAGGGACAGAGGTGGGGATTGGCCTCAAATGATTGATCCCGCCTCTCCAAGAACAGACTACACCCTACCTTCTACCATTTCTGCCCATCATTACCCCAATCTTCCCTTCTTCTTTGGTTTCCTCTTGCTACTCACCTATCACCATCCCTTGAGAGACCTATCTCATCCCCCTCCACAACCCTCAAAATCATCTGGGAAATTACACTTGCAAAAGCACTTGGCAACCCCCTATATCCTGTCACACTCCAAACTAATTTGACTATCCTCCTTAAATACTCAGTCTCTTTTCCAAACCCCACTCTCACCTGAGTCTAGGGGACATCATTCTTCAATTCTGACCACAACTAATACCATGTAAGCTCTTCAAGCTCTCATCTGACATAGGTATCCCTTTCTCTCCTTCTCCAGTCATACTCCATTTAATTTTCCACATTCCTAAAACTTTCTTTACTTCCATTCCACCCTCCCCAAAAGTTTTATGGGGGAATCAGCTTCTTTCAAGGGCTCATTATCAACAGACTTTCAGAAACCAGTTCAGCTTAGTCTCTGATGTTTCTGCAAGGCAATTCATACAGGTACCATTTCCTGGAGGTAGATCTGACTCCAATGCATCAGTCTCCAAATGGCATTCTGATTGGTGCATACACCCAATTATATCAGCTGTGGGGCTTGGATGACCATACCTACACCTAGTGCTACAAAATAATAGTGAGGCCAACATTGTCAGATACAGAACAGCCCACCTGGGCAGATCTTGCAGGTCTTTCAGCTCCACTGACTGCTGAGAGTCTCTGCATCAACTCTGTCTCAACTCACCAAAAGAGTCTATCTGAGCTAGCCAGTTATAGCACCACTAGCATTTCCAGCTGCTTCTGTTCCAGCCACCTCTCATGTCACCTCAACGTGTTGTAACCCCAATCTATGGTTCTCAACCCCACATCCTTAAGCTCACAAAGTGTTTCCCCACCACTGTCAGGACTTGCCAGCAGGTCTTCCAACTGAGTCTAATCTTGATCCTTTCCACCTTCTTTTTTCCTTTCCACATTTAACCTAGAAGCACCTCTGCCTCATTTCTCCAAATTTGACACCTAACATTTCCTTTCATCTTCTTCCTCCTTTCCAATCACACTCCAATTTAACTCTTAACTTTTGCTCTTCTTTCGCTTTTCTCCTGATAACTCTTCTTGCTTTGCCTAAATATCCCATTCTTGGCACCATCATGAAAAAAAAAGACCCTGAGATTAGAAGGTTTTTTCCCCCTAGCTTTTACCCTTTAGGAAACCATTTCTGTACACCCCATAACACCTTCAAACTGCAAAAAGGAAAGAACATAGATTGCTTATGGCTTAGTGCAGAAGAAGCACCCAAGGCTGCACCTGGTTATGACTGAGCCTAACTATTTAGTTCAGCTTTAGAAAAAGAAAGGCCTAAGGTCTATAACAATAGATTCTGTCATTCAGGTTTTCCTGCCTTCCTAGGCGGAAGGAGAGCTTAACCTCTAGTTGGATACCACCTTTGCACTGAACTGGAACAAAGTTCAAAGTTAAGGACTAATAGTGACCTCTATGTATCAAATATGAAATATTTTACCTTGAAATAATTGTTTCAAATTATTTTGTGCCCCAAATAGCTATTTGGAGTAGAGCCGATTTGAAATTGAAATTCCTCCAAAATGATGGAAGCCGCTCATTTTGAACAAGAAAAATTGTTTCTAGCTAGAAACAACTGTTTCATAATTGATATAGTTTGAATTTGAAATGTTTTGCACATTCCTGTTAATGTACAGTGTTCTGTTTTCTCCTGTACTTAGGCTTATGTTAAAGAAGTTTTTCTTGAAAATCACAGCAGCTGCAGTAATTACTCTTACCCCTCCACTATATAATATGTTTGTTTTTTGTTTTTGTTTTTTGTCCCTTTGAGTCATTGTTGACTCCTGGGCAAGTCCCTGCAGTTTTCTTGGCAAGATTTCAGAAGTGGTTTGCTCTTGCCTCCTTTCTAGGGCTAAGAGAGAGTGACTGGCCTGAAATCACCCAGCTGGCTTTGTGCCTAAAGCAGGACTATAACTCACAATCTACTGGTTTTCAGGCTGGTGCCTTAACCACTATACCAGACTGGCTGCCTATTTAGTATGTAACTGAATGCAAACATGGAATTGATACTGATATTGAAAAATTAAGAAAAGACTGAACAACCTGTGCATCTATAATTGCAGAATGAAAAAGAACTAGCTATTCAATCCCAGTACTAAAATAATAAAATAAAATAAATAAAAGGTAAAGTAGAAGTAAAAGATAAAAGCAGTGCTCATCTTTAATGAATAAATTAATGAATAAATTTTGACATTCATTAATTTATTAAAGAAATTTGCTTCATATATATCAAAATAAACATTTTTGCATACTGCAGTAAATGTAACCATTACGATTTTGTAACAATTTGCTGCTCCTGTTATTGCTTTTTTTTCCTTTTAATTGGTAATGTAACATTTTTTTGTTTTTATATTGTATTGTAATTGTTTTGATATTGTATTTTAATTGATTTTATTTCCTCTGTAAACCACCCAGAGTCACTTTTTAATGAGATGGGCGGTGACAGATTTTTATATATGCGCGCACACACACACACACACACAGAGTGACAAAGTGGAATTTACAGAACCCAGCCATCCTAATACAGTCACATTGTTAAATGGTGAGAAAACAATCCTTTGATCAAAATTTTTACCTTCTTCCTTGTGGATATTCTGGTTCCAGTAATGTAATTATTTATATGGAATGCTGTAATTGTGGACTGATTTCCTCAGTTTTTTTTAATGATGAGTTTTAATTTGGAAATACTTTGAACGTGCAGATTAGTTTCATAATAACAGTAATAAATATGCATTTGTACTATTACAACCATTTTCTATATTAGAATCAATTCTTCAGCTTATGGTTCTCAAAATGCTTTGTACAGTTAAGGAGAATTTTTAAGGAAATGGTGCTGATGTATGGCATGACCCTTACTGTCACAGGATGGATATGGACTTTTAAAATCCTTTAGAGTTCTACGATGTGAGAAGTAGACTGTTTTGCTGATAGGAAAGTAGCAATTTTGACAGTAATATTAAATGCTTTGTATATATTCCAAATACTGTGGGACCTCTCCCCAAACCAGGGTTTTGGGTTTTGTTATTTGCTTTAATAAACAGCTTTTTGATTTGAATTTTTAGGTGAGGATGATGGCAGAGACCAATCAAAACTTGAAACAAAAGTTTGGGACACATTTAACCCACTAATAGACAAACAAATAGACCAATTCCTTATAATAGCACGGTAAGAAGAAAGATATTCTAATTTGACTTTTTATCTGGTGATTTTTTTTTCTCCTGTATACAATATTCCACCAATCAAATGTTTGCTGTTCCATAACTTTGATTACTGCCACTCTTGTTTCTTATAGAAAGATGTGCCTTTCTGAAAATATTTAATATGAATATTGTTGGTATTAATATTAATATTTTGGCATCAGTAGTGGAATTTAATTAGCAAATCTTCATTTGTTGGCACAGCGGGCCTTTTCAGATATTTCACATTTGTAATTTTCACATTTTCTACTTCCTTACATCTTCAGTCTAAGGTCATGTCTTCTGACAAATCTTTGCTCAACTGAAATTATTTTAAATATAAATTATAATACTTATATAGATCAGTTTTGACTTGTATTTATATGAGTCAATTTTGGGGGTTGCCAATTTGTTCTTGATATTGCAAATTATGTTTAACTGATAAAGGAAACATTCTTGCTAATATTATAAATCTGTTCATGAAAGGAAAGCCTGCTTTCCTTGCTCCTACTGAAATGAAAAATTTGTAATGGTCGTTCTTTATCTTTCATACACATCTAATAAATATCAATACATAAGCATCTCTGTGCTGCTTTATCTTATCTTTTGTCAGATATCTAACTTAAGATATTCTTGATTTTGTATCAAGCTCTCTAAAATGTTATGCTGAACATATATTTCTAATATTCTAATATTGTGGCTATATTTCTAACTTTTCTAATATTCTAATATTGTGGCTATATACTTGCCTACCTGCCAGAAATATTCATGAGTACAGTATTTGCAGTCCAGATGGAATAGACTGCTATACCTATTTCACAGATGTTGGACTGTGAGGTTATGTCCTGAGTTTCATATTATTTTCTATGATAGGAAGGTTGTCCTGAGTTTTGGTGCAGATAATGATTTTGACAGGTGGAACATATGTGAGAACTATACCTCAGGAAGAGAAAGGGAAAAATGCCTGTTTTACTGACTCTTTTTAGGCTTCTTAAAGATTGGGAGCTAAGTGAGAGATGGATATAGGGAGCATACTTTACAATTCTCTTTTATAAAGAGGTAAAGACTGTTTTTGTGAGGCTTGATTCAGTATAATGTGTGTGCATGTTAGCTTGTTTTAACAGGTATTTTAGTTATAAATGTGGCTGGAAAGTGATATGTTATAATCAGGGAACTGAATGGAAAGTGAATTAACAGTAAAAGAGAGAGAGAATTATAGCGTTAGGGAATTGGCAGGAAAACTAAGAAGAAAATGGGTTAGGCATTTAAGGTCCATTCTATTTTCTAGTCTTCCCCCACCCACCTAACCAGCATATGTATGGGGTCTTTTCTATACTGTTCTCCAGCCTACTCATTTTAGAATAAAATTTTATTCATTATGATTTGATTATGGATGAGGAAGCTGACATATAACTATGTGCCATGTCTTGATTTTAAAAGATAGGGGTGGAATGTTCTAGCTATATTATTCCTAGCTTCTACATGGGTGCTTGGTCAAGGACCTGAATATGCTTGAGCTTCAGAATCCCCACCCACCTACATATAACACACAATACCTATGGAGTTTTTATGTATTATGTTGAGCACTTGGGAAAGATTGAGGATACTGCTGGCATACTGTTTGTCCCACAGCCAACCTGACTGCCATGTGAGTTGATAAAGATAATTTGGAAACAATTGGGGATCTCCAGGATGGCTATCCAAGAGAACTTCAATATCCATGCCAAATTTGCTAGATCCAGTGCAGCTCAGAATTTTATGAACATCCCAGCTGGGCCTAACAGGATACACTGTAGATGCATTCTCTACTGCACTTGAGGAGGAATGATCTGAAAATAGGGAATTTTACTATGTTTCCCTTATCATGGTTAGATTACTTCCTACTTATGTTAAATTTAGGTGGCTGCTCTCTTCTGCAAAGGGAAGGGAGGAATATTAGGATAAACTGCTTTTAGAGAGTGTTACATTCACAAGTTGCAGGAAGATTTTTGTGGTTGACACATTGTTCCTGTCAAAACCTAGCTTTTTCCAGTTATGAAAAGCTTTCCTCAGGGAAATTATCCATTTTTTTCTTTCATCATAAAGTTAATTGGTTAATTAGTTCTCTCAGGTTTTAAAAACATGTCATTGTTCTTATTGTTGTTAACATCCTTTTAATTTCTTTGTAATCTTAACCCCTTTTTATGTTGATATTTTTTAATCTTTTCCCTTAGATCTCTATTTTTATTGTATTTTATTCAGTCTGCTTCAGTCCATTTTCTTTGTTTTAGCATGTTCCTCTTGGTTTTATTTTTTTAGATTTTTTGTGTTATTTTCTTTTATATTACAACATTTAGATGATTTTTAGGTGTTTCCTAAGTATAATAAATAGCAAATCATGACTATTCTGACACATCAGTCAGTAAAGCAAACATCTGCCATTTGTTAAAATTAGTACCCTGTATGAAAATATAGAGGACTTCAAATACAAAAACATTACAACTAATACAGGTAGTCCTTGCCTAACAACCACAATTGGGACCAGAATCTTGATCATTGAGCAAAGTGGTCATTAAACGAGTTGCCCACGTGACTGCTTCGCTCAACTACCACAATCTGGGCAATCCCGGTTGTGGTCATTAAGCAGTCTCCCGGGTTGTTAAGCGGATGGAGCAAAAGAGCTGTTTGTTGAAGGATTTCAGCTCTGTGTGGAGCTCCTGTGAAGCTGAAATCCTCCCAGCAGGCAGCCCTTTTGCTTTCAGATGTTTCTAAAGCCTGCTGGTTTGTCCTCCTCTGTGGATGGAGGAGAAATTCTTTATGGGGCTGGAGGAATGGAGCTCAAATCTTCAGGATTTGAGCTCATTCCTGCACACCACTGAGAGAGGGGAGGGGAAATCTCTCAGTGATGTGCAGGAACAGAGCTCAGATCTTCAGGATTTGAGTTCTGTTCCTACACACAGCCAAGAAATTTCCCTCCATTCCCTCTGCATGCAACCTTCCCTGCATTGACTTTCTGGGGAAACCGGCAGATAAGATTGCAAATGGTGATCATATGATTGCAGGGCACTTGGCAACCAGTTGTAAATGCGAGCTGGTTGCCAAACACCTGAAATGCGGCCATATGACCGCAGGGGGGGGGCGGCACAGTGTTTTACAATGGCTGGAAGTGCTTTACGAGCTATAAAGCACCCTTTCCGAAGCCGTCGTAACTTTGAACTGTCATTAAATGAATGGTCGTTAAGCAAGGACTACCAGTAGTATTTGGCAAAAGCATTTTGTGGATTGTACAAATAAATTATGCACATCCAGTTATTATAAGGCACACAGCATAGAGGAATGCAGAGAACTGGTTATAATCCTCAACTTTCGTATGTTTGTTTTTAACTGGAAAGTTAGCTTTCTCTTCTTTTTTTTTTAGCTCTGTGGGTACATTTGCACGTGCTCTAGATTGTAGCAGTTCTGTTCGGCAGCCAAGCTTACATATGAGTGCTGCAGCAGCTTCTAGAGACATCACACTGGTGAGAATTTAAGAAAATAAATCCTGTTGAGTTAATACTATCACTATAACGTAGGTAGTCCTCACTTACCGATTCTTTTGTTTAGCAACTGTTCAAAGTTATGATGGTTGGGAAAAAAACAGCTTTGCAACCAATCTTTGCATTTACAACCATCACAGCATCCCACAGTGACATGATCACCATTTGCATGCTTCACAACTGACTTCCAACAAGCAAAATTAATGGAGAATGTGGAAGTGAAACCGCAAGTTGTAGTCACGTGATGTCTCGTTTAACAACCACGGTGATTTGCTTAATGACTGAAGAGGAAGTGAGGTCATAAGTCCATTGCAGTCTCATGATATTTTGCTTAGTGACCATGACGCTTAGTGATGAAGTTGCTAATCCCAATTGTGGTCGGTAAACAAGGACTACCTATATCAGAATGATTCAGAGTTTTGGAAACATAGTAACCTTCAACTTTTCCAATCTGAAATCCCAGTACAGTCATGTTTACATTTTCCATGTTTGTGTATATAGATGGTGGGAAACTACTGACCAGTCAGAGCTCTTTAAATCTCTGATAAAATAATAAGTTGCATTATAACACGGTCCTCCTTTTGTTCTTGTTTAAATAATTTACATAACTGTGCATGAAGTACTTCAAGGCTTTTAAAGGGGAGATTGTTAGTTAAACAGGGAAAGAAAATGAAAGTTATCTATGCCAATAAAGCTCATACAGTGGTACCTCGGGTTACAAACTTAATCCATGTGACTCTGGTCGCAACCCGAGTTGGTCGCAACCCGAGGCAAATTTCCCCATAAGGTTCAATGTAAATACGGTTAAT